CCTGATTTTTAGAATTAAAGCTGCATAAATAAAGGTAGGATAAGTACATAGAATAGAATAGAAATTATGGAAATAGATCTTTACATATATGGTCAACTGATATTCCACAAAGATGGCAATGGAATTAAGTGAAAAAAGGGTCTTTAAATTATTAGCTTGATGTCCACATGGGGAAAAATGAAATGAGTTATAGACCCAAATGATACTGCTAAATAAAAACAATAGAATTTTTAGAAGAAATCAGAAAAATATGATCTTGGGGTAGGCAAATACTTCTAAAATAGGATATAGAAAATGATGAAGAATACTATAAACTGGACTAGCAAAATTAGGTTTTTTGAAAGATACCATTTGGAAAATTACCAGACAAGGCACAGAATGGGAGAAAATAATCTATATACATATATCTGACAAGGGACTTGTGTCTAGAATATGTAAAGAACTCTTACAGCTCAAAAAACAACCCAATTAATGTGCAAAAGACTATAGACACAACACAGAAGAAAATATATAAATGACTAATACACACAGGAAAAGATGGTTAACATCAGTCTTTATTAGGGAAATGCAAATTATAAAGCACCACTTGATGCCACGACACTCCTATTAGAATGGCTAAAATGATAACTTCTGGAAAACCAATTACTTGTTGTGATGAAACTGAAAGTCTCATACATTGTTGATGGGGATATAAAATGGCACAACCTCCACTTTGGAAAACAATTTGCCTGTAAGATACCATACACCTCTGCAATTCTATTCTCAGGTGTCTAGTCAAGAGAAATGAAAATCTATGTCAACATAAATACTTAAATGTTCATAGCAGCTTTATTTATAACAGCTAAAATGTGGACAAAATCTAAATGTTCATCAGCATATGAATACAAAAGCTATTACGGTTCTTCCATATAATGTGGAATGCAAAAACTAATCAATAAAAAGAAATGAGCTTTTAATATATGCAATGATATAGCTGAAGCTCAAAATCATTTTCCTCAGTGAGAGAAGCCTGTAGAAACGTATATACTGTTTGATTCTGTACCTATGAGATTCTATCAAATGCACGTAGCCTGGGTTTGTGCAGGGAGTAAATTGATTCCAAAGAAGCACAAGAGAACTTGTGGGTGTGATGGAAAGAGTCTGTCTCTTTATTGTGGCGGCTACACAGGTATATACATTTGTCAAAACTAATCGAATTTCACAATTTAAATGGATACAGTTTTATTGTATATAACTTATACCTCAATAAATCTAATCAAAATAATATCCAGGTATAGTTGAGGCTTCCTTGGAGTGGCTTCTTCTGATCTAAAAACCTATGAACTGAAAGAGTATATTATGTTAGTTTGGCCACCCACCGGACAGCCAGCACACAGTGGTGAAGAGAGACTGGAGAACTCATTCAAAAAATGAAGAAAGGGAGGCACGGCCGCTATTCTATAGCAATTCTGAAATCTAGCCAGGCATTTGTTGCCCGTTTCTTGATTAGGGCTTTAGTGCAGCTTCTTCCTCTTTTCTTTCTTTTATCATAATGAGTGGTCTGTTTTTAAGCTGAGTAGTTCTCTCAGCCTGCTTCCTGTGTGTAGGAATTTGGAGAAGCAAATACCTCTTTTCATTTTTACTCCGTTCCTTTCAAATGAGGCAAGTCTGATTCCTTAGTTTTGAGGCTGTGTCTGTGTGCTTTGTGTTTCTTAGGCATATAGCTTCTTAGAAGCGAGAGCTTTCAGCTTCCTCTCAAGAGCAAGAACTCTGTCCCTGCCTCTGGTTTCTAGGTGGGACTGACTTTGTTCCTCTGCTTGGAGAACTTTGATTCCCTCTTCTCCAGAGTCAGACTTCTTGCTGTCCCTAGCTTTTTCTGAAAACAGAGCTTGGCAGATCTTCAGTTTCCATCCTTTTCATGGCATTGCATTTTTTATCTAGATAAAAGTGAAGTCATAATTTATTCTTTCAGGCTCTTCTCTGATGCAGTCTTGACTAGCATTGTCACCACTGTTTCTTTATCATTTCCCCAGTTTCTGTTTTATTTACTCCTGGAATTCATATTTTGATGTTAGAGATTTTGAATCTATCTTCCTCACCTCTTGCATTTTCATTTATTATATTCATCCGTTTTTTCTTTTGTGTTCTCAGAATATTTCTTGAGCTAGTTTTCTAATTTGCTAATTTTCTTTTGTGCTATATTTAATGCTCTCTTTTTCCATTATGATTTTAAAATTTGGTAAACATGTTTTTCATTTGTAGGCACATTTTTATGATCACAGATTATTCATTTCCTTTTTACATATGAAATGTCCCCTTGAATCACATTGAGAACCCAAATTAGAAGTACATTTTAGAAGTTGCCCTTTAAATGTAAAGTAAGTTTCTTTTCCAGGAGGACATTTGATTGGTCTTCCTTTAGGTTTTTACATCTTCTGTGTCTCACTGCTTATCTCATTATCTTACAGGGACAACTCTGTTTCTCTAGTATTTGAAATTAACAAAGATGCTGAAACAATGTTTCTGGCTCCTGTTGAATATTTTAGCATTAGGAAAAGGTTAAAGGGAAATTTTGCATTTCCTATAGTTTTGCTCCCTGAAGAGGAGTAAAGAGGCATTTGAATGTCAGGGAATCTTAGAAATGTGCTGAAGATTTTCTCACTGTGTTAATTTTGGCACCTGAAATTAATTGAGTCACAGTCCCTCTTTTCTAGCTGGCACAGTACTTTTAATCATGAGCTCCCTGTAATCATGTCCCCTGTACCCATTGTAGGCTGTCTTTGTGAGGACCATGACATGACTTGTTATTCTCAGTGGCAGGCACACCAGTTATCCTTCATAAAGAGGCTTATAGGGTATACTTGGCCTCCTACCTTCTGTTTCACTGTTCACCCTGACCTCTGGCCCCATCACTGTGTATTCCAGCCATCTTTACCTATTTAGTGTTCCAGTTAATTGTAGTTCCAGCTGGAGACAGTCTCAGTGGCAGAAATGAAACTTCTGTGCCAGCCAGACTTTAGCAATGATAATGACCTGCTTTTCTTGGCTGGTGAAGGCTGGCTTCAGTAATGCCTCTGCTTGATTTGGCCCGCATTGGATCATGTTTTAGGGGCAGTATAATGAATTGCGTTCTGGACATGTTGAGTTGGAGGTAGGGCTGTTCAATATGTTATTTATAAGGGAGTTGGAGGCCAAGAGACCAATTTAGGCTGGGTATGTAGATTTGGTATTCAAAGCTTTTCTTATTATTTGAGAAACTAGTTGTACATTGGATTGTCCAGGGAAAGCATGTAAAAGGGAAATAAATAAGGTTAGACACAGAACCCTGGGATCATAGCATGTATGGGGGTTGGTAGAGAAAGAAAAGCTAGTGAAGGAAATTTTTGCAGGATCAGGTGAGAACCAGGAAAGATTGGTTCTATGGAGCCAATGAATGTGGCATCTTTAAAACACTGTCCCTAATGTTTTACTGAGATCACCTAGGGTAAGGACATGTGCTTGAGCAACTAGGAGATTGTTGATGAGTTTACCTATAATACTTTCAGGATAAGTGGAAGTCAGATTGTAATTGAAAAATATGTGGCAGGTTAGGACATGGAACCAGTAACTCATTTTGAAATTTTATTCTGAAGGGAAAGAGAGAGATTAGTACAGAGGACAGCTACAGTGCATTAAAAGGATGTGTTGTTTTATGTATGCACCCTGTGTAATAAATAGATAAATATTTCAGACCTCTTTTTTTATTAATATTTTCTATGAGGAAAAATTAGTTTTAATATTTAAGCATTTTTCAATTTTTAAGTATAGTTCTTTTTATGAATGTTTAATCTGTTCTTAAAGAAGAACAGGCCACTACCTAGTATGCTTTCTAAGGCTGCTTATCCCAATACTGAGTTTTAAATGCTTGTATCAGCTCAAGCACATTGGCTGATGAAGTTATTGCCAAATATTACTTTGTCTGTGTTTTCTTATTTGTTTTTAAGTACTTAGGTATCTGGGATATTGAGGAGGGTTATAAAATAATATCTCTCTTTAAAACAGCTTTTTCAGGCATTCTATATTACTTAATAACTAGTTTAAGGAATGCTTTTCTATTAGTGTTACTACCAAGAAGTCATTCATTTTAATCTTTTTGAGTTACTATCCTGTCTTTTGGGAATACTTAATATGGTGCACAATTTGTGAAATCCTGATATTACTTGTGGTTGAAAGTTAGTGACTTTCATTCATTATAAAATGGTTAGTTTCCATTTCATTATCTTGAAGGAGATGTTTAGAGAATAGATATTTGTAATCATGGAACTTTCATTAAAGTAGCTCGAATAAAAATATACAAGAGACAACAGAACATACAAGAATATACAAGAATATACAGAATATACAAGAGACAACAGAATATTGAGAATGTCATTTTTATGCTGTATTTTATATTGGAGAAAAGTCTTTTTGTTCACATTCATTTGGAAGCTTTAAATATTTTCCTACTTACACTGAACTTCCTACATTTTACCTGAATTAACATGGTGTATTTTTAATTTAAGGCTAATTTATCTGTGGTTTCTGACATGGTTTCAAATTAATTTAGACTTTCAGCTGCATGAAGGTTTTGTCATTTTATGTATTTCAAGGCTTAAGCTTGATGTACATGAATGCAACAAAATTTGCCAACCTTTTAAAATTATTTTCTTCTGAGAATATATGCTTCATTTTCTCTCTTCTACATATGAGAAAAGGTTTATATACACGTTATTTGTCATAGTTCCACATAAAAATAACTTTTGTTTGTAAACAAGTATGTGGCATTTAGGTGACATTTTTATTTGTAATTAAATCTAAATGAAATAAAATGTGAGACATAGAAGTGGTCATTATTCATATTTTGCTTTTTTATTGAAGCATCATTGTTAATAGAAACAGTCATCTCATTTTCAAAAGAAAAAAAATTGGTAATCCTTGATTTGAAAGCCCCTATGTTCTCCGAATTTCCCAAATTCTGACTTGTTACTGTTTTGTTCTGTTAGTAGGGAACAGTATACTGCCAAGCTCCAAACAAGTTCACGTTCTATGAGTCCAAACTACAGAGAAGATGGACAAAATATTACCGCAAAGATTTGTGTAAGATCAGATTCTACTTTTGTTTCATTGTTTGTTGTTTTAACAGAACTCCACAAATTTTTAGTATTGTCTTGTCAAAGTTCCAACAGTTACTTAAAAACAGTGAATGAAGTCTGAAGGTTTCGGTAGACATCCTCATGTCAAAGAAAGTGGTGTGTTTGGTGTACTCCACAGTTCCTGCTGCTTTCTCAGTGATTCTGAGGCATCATGTTAATCAGTCTATTGCTTCTCCTGTGCATTAAAGAATAACTTTGGAAAGCTTCATTTTTTGGTTATTTCTTCCTTTTCCTTTTCATTGGGTGATTAGACACCCAGTGGTCATAAATTTAAGAGATTGGGATTAGTTTGTAGTGAAGTACGGTATGCTGCCTTTCAGATGAAGATGAACTGTTTATATCTTGAAATATGACTGCTTCTCTTGTGTCTAGTTGCTTATTGGTTTGAACGAAGTACTAATGAGAACATTCCTTAAAAGCATTCCATACAAAGCATTCCAGTTAGCTTTGTAAAGAGAAGAACTCTGCCTGCTTACTATAGTCTTTCTTGTGTAATTCTGACTTGTCTTCGGTTACATGACTTTTGGTTACAAGAAGATCATGTGTGATACAAGACTGCTTTAGCACATGCTGCTCTAAACATACCTCATTGCGTTTTCTCTAGTTGTAGTTTGGAACTTTGAAAAAAATTTTAATATAAAGGGCAGCACATTTTAAGTACTTTCAGGTTTATTATCAATCATGTTTACTCAAAAAAGGCAGGTACATTTTCTTAAGATACAATTGTTCACAACGAGAAACATACAAGAAACTGGGGACCAACAGATGAAGCAATAATGAATTTAAATATGGTATATATAATAAATTCAACATGTTCAGTAAAAATGTAGAGACTCAGTAAAATGTGAAATTCTTAGTGTATTTTTCATCACTTCAGATAATTTAAATGACCATAGGGGTAAGTAGATTTGTTTTTTAGTAATGAGGTTTTCTAAAAATGTGAAAATGCTGTACCAAGATATTTAATTTCAAGAGAACTTTTTTGTCTGTGCTGTTGAATGTGCATTATTATTTTATACAGATTTACCTTTCTAAGATTTTAGAGTTTTCAGATCATTGTCCATTTCTGGGCACAGATATTAGGCTGTCCTCAGTTAATTATAGTTTTAGTCTGGTCCGATAAATGTGCAATATGATAAATTATATGGAAGGAAAAAAAAGCATGCAATTTAAATTTTTTTAAAAATAAAGAATCAACATAATTGTGTTTTCATGATGTGACTCCAAACTTTATTTCTCTTTATATTCAGTATATAAATGAGAATTAATTTAAGAACAAAGAGCTTTTTGGGCATCAACATAAATTCTGTTAACTAATTTTAATGAGAGTAAATAATTCATCTTTTCAAGTGTTTCCCTACTCTTCTTTAAAGCTACTGTGGTATACCACAATTAAAAAGTTTTTGTAAAATAACTTAAAGAGAAGAATCTGGATTAATTTTTAAAATATTCTTTTGAAGTTTTTTTTTTTAATCCATTTACTGTGTGAATATATTGTGAAGGAACCTCATAGCCCTGAGCAGCTATAGTAAACAGTCATTACTTAGAACCAAGAACTCAGCACAGCTGTAACGTAATCCCTTCCTCTGAGGGCAATAGAGCATTACCAACAGTCGCACAAACCCTTATTATTCTGAATAACATGTATTTTGTCCTATTTTCTCTCCTGTTCTCTCTTTCCTTGTTCCTCACCCACCTCCCGCCTTCCCTTCCTCTTTTATTTCTTCCATCCTTCCTTCTTTCCTCTCTGCCCTCTCCTCTTTTCTCTTTTCTATTTCAGGAAGTTCATTTGAAAAAACCTGCTATGTCTTTGGATGACCGTGACATCGAAGCTCGCCTTAATAGTTGGAATCTTGGGGTAAAAAAAGTGTTTTATGTATGTAAATTGATGTGGCAGAATCATATTGTTTTGGGGGAACATCTGAACTAATTTAATTCTATTCAGTGAATACTATTGGATATTAGACATTTATAGGTGCTGGGTTGTACTAAGAAGGACTTGGTACAGGAAAGAGAAATAACATTCCGAAGAAGCATACGACAGTCCCTGCCCTCAGTAAGCTGACTTTCTTGGTGGTGAAATAGGAAATACAGACATAAATAGTTAAGTAATAATTTAAGATATTATATGATAAATACCAAAAAGTATTAGAAGTAGAATTAGAAAGAAGAACACTGAGGGGAAGGGGAGAGGATGGAGGACTTGGAGAAGCAAGGCCATTGGGTTAAAAAAACCTTGGGGGAGGTTTCATGGGTGAGCTGTCATCATGGACCTCAGTTCTCAGGTGCAGAGGCCGAGGAGCTTGAAGGTCCTCAGAGAGGCGGACAGGAGAGGAGCTAGGAGTTCAGGGGGATCGGCCTGAGGAAATGGGTGGCGGAAGTGAAGTGCCGCCACTGGATCTTTGGGATTTAAGTAGGGAATTAGAGGGCAGTGTTACCAGGCTGGATTGTATTGGGACTTTGAACGCTAAACTGAGAATTTTAGATTTTAAATTGTAGATACTAGTGAGTCCTGGAGGTTTATTTTTTCCTCCACTTTCCACTTTGTAGATATACTGTTTGAATGCTTTGAGGAAATGAAAAAGGGTTTAAAACAATTTTTATCACACTATTATTAAAAAATAATTCGTGATTTGAAAATCTGAACGATACTGAAAAACAGAGGAATAAAATGTTTTACAGCTGCAACATTGAGAGCCGTGTTAACATTTTGTTATATGTATCTTTCCCTCCTTTTTTTCCTGTGTATTTATAAAATTAAAATTTAAGCAAAATTGGGGTCATATTATAAATGCTAGTTTACTATGTGCTGCTTTAAATTTGATATGTTTATAATAGTTCCATAAACATGAATATTAATAGTAGCACCGATTTTCCTTTTGGATGGATATTCCATAAGTTATTTAAGCCTTTTGCTGTTTTTGGACATTTGGTTGCTCCTAGTTTGTTGCTAATAGAAGCAATACTGCAATAAAATTCCTTACAAGAATCTTTTTATACATATTTGGTTGCTTTCTTAGGTTACATTGTATCTTGGCACATGCCCTCCAGAAGGTACATACCAGTTCTCCAACCAGCAGTGTTCAGGCTTCATCTGTTTTTCACTTCTCTGACATTAGGGATTATTATTTTTAAAAATCCTAAGATATTCCTACTAATAAATGGTCTTATAAAAAGCAGTGCTTCAGGTGCCATTGTGAGGATTATATTGGATGTGAGTAGACATAGAGAAAGGGAACCAGTCATTTTAGGTGTTTGTAATGAACTCCACATTAGTGTGATTTCTGTGATGGTGGAAAGGGTAGAAAGGAAGAACATTTCAAAGAGTAAAGAATGCTTAGTGGCTGATTGGTGGGCTGAGCAGGAGGGTACGTGAAGGTTTGGTTCTAGGAAATGGGAATGGTGGCTCTCCGTCAGTTAACTGATTGTCAGGTGGAGGAATCCATTTTAGTGGTTTACAGTTCTATTTGAGACTGGTGGAGTTTGAAGAGATGGTGAGATTGATTGGGGAGTTCAAGGTTTGGAGCTTCCTAAGACTCAGCCGATGGAGGCACTTCACAGTTGTACTTCTACAGTGGTAGTTTCACCCAGAGACAAGGAATGTGTCTTTAGGGTTCAGAGTGGGAGGGTGGGCTTGCGCAAGGGCCATGATTAGAAGATAGGGAAATGGAAAAGGATTTAAAGCAACGTGAATCTCCCAGTCATTTGGGGAGTATGTTAGTGAAAGAGAACAGAGAAAGAGAATTGATAATAAGAGGGGGATAGTAAGTCAAAGGAAAACCATCTTCGTGTTTGAGGGTAAAGGGCAAGTTGCCATTGGAGGGAAGGCCTGAGTTACCAGTGTGGGAGAGGAGCACAGGAGAAATGCCCGAGAAAGTCAGGTTCTGGCCGCCGGGAAGCAGAAGGCAGCATCAAAGTGAAGCATCAAGTCCTGGGCTACCCGTTGAAGCCCGCCTTTGCCCCTAGCCATTTGAAACTCCTGATGTACGGTTCTTAGCACATAGAGTTCTTTTCACGATTATTTGACTGTTCAGAGAATTACATTTTTCATTCATATAATAAATTTAAAATAAAACATCTAAGATTTTTTGAGGTAGTGCCTTAAAACTAGGCCTGCCTGGGGTTTTGCTTCACATTTTTATTGTTCAAAGAATGTACTAACAGTGTAAAATACAAAAGTCTTGCATTTTAATATATTTATAACATATGCATTAATAAGGCTGAACTATATCTCTTGATCACAGTAGAATAATTTAAGTATCCAGTATATTAAAAAGCTCAGATTTTTCTTTGATTTTGGTTTTGTATGAGAATGTGTAATGGTCTTTTTTCCTTCTTCCTCTGAGTGATCAATTAATAGCCAGTTAATTTTTGTGTCCTATACTAAGGGTTTTTTTTTATATGCTGGCATGATTGTCAACACCTTCATTCTGATCTATTAGATATTGCAAATTTGAATTACTAGTTTTTATTAAAAATACACTTTTCCACATACATTCTTTTTCCAAGGGGGGGAACACAATTCAAGTAGAGATTTGCTTATTAAACCTAGCAATTACATTTTCTTCCTGCATTATTTTTTTCTTACTCTTTAGCCTTTTTAACTTTCAGTTTTGGGGAGGGTTTCTTGCTTTATTAATATATATATATATCTCATACTTTTCATACAAATTTTTATATAATTTTTTTTCCTATTTCCTTTTTTTCTTTTTTCTTGAGGACAGGGTTTGGGGGGCCTGGAGGAAGGCTTTCTCAGGCCTTCCATCCCAGTCACCCATCCACTTTACACCCCAGCTTACCTGTTGAATGCAAAGCCTCACTCCCACCAGGATCAAATGAACAGTGAGGGCTCTGAGTAGACCCCTCAGGGCAGGTTTGTGCAGGGAGAGCTCTCAGGACAGGCCATGGCAGGGGGACTAGGCTGGGCAGGGGAAGGAGCTGGATGAGGTCAGTGGGAATAAGCCTCTCCTGATCTCATGGGGAGCTCCAGAGGGCAGACAGCACCCCAGAATCAGGTTGCCCCACCTGGAGGTCCAGGCCCATCAGGGTGCAGTGAACATCCCCGTGGAAGACTTGAGGGCCCCTGCAAGAATGTGCCTACTCTCCCTGTAAGGACTGTTGGAAGGCTGGCTCCTACTCTGTGGCCATCCTCATTGTGGCCTGTTGAGAACCATTCTGCTCGGTCATTAGGGGCAGCTGTCATCCTGATCTCATGGGGAGCTCCAGAGGGCAGACAGCACCCCAGAATCAGGTTGCCCCACCTGGAGGTCCAGGCCCATCAGGGTGCAGTGAACATCCCCGTGGAAGACTTGAGGGCCCCTGCAAGAATGTGCCTACTCTCCCTGTAAGGACTGTTGGAAGGCTGGCTCCTACTCTGTGGCCATCCTCATTGTGGCCTGTTGAGAACCATTCTGCTCGGTCATTAGGGGCAGCTGTCAAACAAGTGCAGTTGGGATGGACTTTGAGCCACCCCAAGTTGCCCACCCGCAAAATTGTGAACTAAATAAAATAGTTTGTTTTGAAGCCATGAAGGTTTAGGCTGATTTGCTATGCAGCACAATGCTAATTGATTTAATAGATACAGGAAAATCATTTTCTAGAGTGATTATGTCATTGCATCCTCATCAGCAGTGTACGCCAGTTCCTTTTCCTCTGCTTGCTCTTCAGTATTTGGTATTGTCAGTTAAATTTTGTTTTTAATAAAAACATTTAGCCTTTCTTGAGAATGGTGGTTAGTAACACTGCACTGTGTGTGGTTTTAACATGTATTTTCTTGATGGCTAATATTTAAATACCTTTTAATTGACAGTTTGGATAGTCTCTTATAGAGTGAAGTACCTACTTAAAGCTTTGCAAATTTTGTTATTGATATGTAAGAGTTTTGTGCCTATTCTGGGCAGGAGACCTTTTGGACTACTGTATTATAAATATTTTCTACCACTTTGTTGCTTTTACTCATTCTCTTATGGGTGTCTTTGATGAACAGAAATGTATAATTTTAATGCAATTCATTTGATCATTTTTTCACATCATAGTTCATGCTATTTTGTGTCCTGTTTAAGATTTTTGGCTCTCCTCAGGTCTTGAAGATGTTCTCTACTTTATTCTAGGAGCTCTGTTGTCTTACTTTTTGTATTTGGGTCTACATACCATCTGGAGGTAATTTTGATATATGTTGTAAGGTAGGGAGTTAAGATTTGTTTTTGTCGCTTATACATATTTGGGGGACACTCCCATTCATTGGAAAGACTGACTGTTCTTCTGCTGCACTGCAGTAAATGCAGGTAACAGTACATGTTTGCTTCCATTCTGTTCCTTTGGCTTATTTTGCTTTTTCTTTGCCAGTGGACTGTGTCTTTTTATCTGTATTTTGTGTTCTTTAAATGTTTGATGAAATGTTGAGTAAACCAGTTAATGAACGTCCATTTGTAGTAGTATTTCTGTGGAAAAACATTTTTCAAATTCCATTATATTAACTTAAAAATACTATTTTTGAGAATAATTGGTTTGACACTGGGGACAGAATTTATTTTGTTCCATGGAGTTTCAGCAGTTCTGACTGATGCTATGACTTAAAAACATTTAGTTTAGTTGTGTTGCTTGATAATGTCCTTTCCTCTAAGACAGCTAAAATTAAGAGAGAAAATGTCTTTCCATTTTCTGGAACCATAGAACATTTCCATTTGATCAACATTAGTGTATAATGGGGAATTTGGTCAGTTTGACAAAACATACTGACAGAAACCTCTGTAACCAACCAAACAAAATTGCTTAAAAACTAAACAAAATAAAATGTCAAAAGCCAGTTTTCATTAGGAAACATTCAGATATCTTTATTTACATCTACTTTAAGTTATT